AGAATATTGGTGAGATCTACTTGCACGTGCAGACGAACAACGACGATGCCATCAACTTCTACAAGAAATTTGGGTTTGAAATCACGGAAACCATTCAGAACTACTATACAAATATTACTCCACCAGATTGCTTCGTTGTTACCAAATACATTACTCAAACAAAGAAATGACAATTTGGATTGAGTTCTTTCTAGATTGATTTTTTACTTTGCTTTAATGAAAGCGTAAACTAGTTTTTGGGATCTGAAGATTGTGGGGTTAGCCATTCATTGGTAATGTTATGGAGTATTCTCAGTCTAGTTTTACAGGGAATTTTGCTATGCGAGAATAGAAATGCTGATCAATATTAGACATTGAAGTTATTTATAGTCTTCTATCTCAGGTCGGTCATGTTTGGTATAAAGTACTAAACGGATTCAAGTTTATTTTTCTTTCTTTTACTGTCCAGCTCAAATCACCTCATTGATCAGTGATCACACAATTGGTTATTTATAAACTATTTATTTATTTTTATCATTTTGCATCTCTAATTTACCCTTGGACCTCTGCGTCCAATACTTGGTTCTGGTCTCAATAGTTATGCTCCTTTCAAGTGCCCATCATCCACTGAACTTAATGAAGCTTCTCAATAGCCACTGAGCTTAATTCCGTCTTACTAAACTAGCCACGGATTCCATCTGTGATTGTGTCTACATGGAGGTGAAATTCATCCGGTGTCCAGTTTAGTGTAATGGGCGGTGGCCATTGGAAAGCTTTTTCAGTAGCGGAGTCGTGACGAGGTGTAAAGTTTAGTGGCCACTTCTCATTCGACTTTACTTGTCAAATAAAATATTTATATTGATTTTTTTTTTAAAATTCATTTTTAATTATATTTTTCGCAATGAAATAAATAAAATAATTGAATTCATAATTTTCCGTACTTTTTTAATAATTTTCTTTTAAAAAATTCAATTTTTACAAATTTAGTCCATGTTCGAGTCACATTAAAATTTTCATTTTCATTATTTTACTCACTTTCAACCTCACATTTTTCAATAAAATAATATTTTCCATCACATCAATAGCTTTTCCTTCTTTTTCAACCACACAATTTCCATGAATTAAGCTATGTGTACATAATAGTATCCATAATATTTCATATAGTGGCGCACAG